GCACAAATGTATTGTCATATAAATAACCGCAGTATATGTTAAGTTCAAGTTTCACTCCAAACTTAGTACTAAAATTAAGGGAAATAAACATTAATCGTTTACAGATCTCTGTCAAGTAAGAGACTTTTAAATAAATTTCTATCACAATCAATTTTAGATTTACAACTGATGGAAACATGAATCTGTGATATTTTTTCTGATCACCCAGTCAACAATCATAGACATTCCGCTTTTATGTTACTGATTTATATGTTACATGTTATATGTTATACCAATGTTGTATTTTAATCAGAGTGATCAGTGTTAAAAAAGTCCATAATTCAAAAATAAATATCAAAAAAGGATAAATATTTTGGAAAATAAAAAGAAATTAACCAATAAATACTTAGAGATCAGAAATTGTGATCATGTGTTCACCATTGGTGATTTCTCACTATTGGTGGTGAGTCAATAAAATGTAGGTCTCTTCCGTTTGTGGATGTTCGTCCATCCTTTTATTTCATAGTGAACTAATTATAGAAATATTCATTCTTAATTCTTACTAAATGTGAAAACTGAGGATGTTTTTATTTTCCTTTCTAAAAGATCAAAATTTAAGCATTTTGAGCTTTCATAAGCACTAGTTATTTGTATGTTGTATTGAGGATCAACCGTTTCAAAATATTTTCACAATATACAAAGATAATCTGGATTAAGGTGGAAGAAATATTTTGCAGTTGTTGAGTCTAAGGAACATTCAAATCTTCTCTTCTACTGTTTTCTACCAAGTATGGTGAATAACTTATTAATGACTTCCAAGTATATTGCATATTTCTACATTTAATGTGTTTTGTCAGAATTAGCAATAGCTCTGCATTTACTGAAATGTGATTTCCAAGCACTTATTTATTCCTTTTGAATATATCTTTTTATTGCAAATTTTATATTGAATTCAGTACGGAACTGAAAAAGGGTAACAAAGGGCAGAAGTATAAATGCAGTTGTTTAACAGACCCAATCATTTCTTCTGTGAGTAACTCTAACATGAATTGCTTCTGTCATAACTATGTTACTAACATTATTATAAATATTTAGTCGCACAAACCTCTCTCTTAAAGATATATTTTGTCACCAAAGTAATTGTGTTAGATGGTCATAAGAAAAACGGTATGTGTTTTGAGCTGATATTTGTTGACTGCAGAGGACTCTTAGACTCATATAATACGTAGGCTGAAGTTTCTACATTTTACAAAGCCAAAGGAGAAGTTGGTATGAAGCATTTAAATGTTTATTGGTAAATACTTGTATTAAGTATATATACAATTTTTTATTCATATTTTTCTGTTCATTATAATATTTTGTTAATTTCTAATATGAAAATAGTTTTCTAGTTGGATGTTTTAGGTATAACCTTTAACAGTACCTTATAGGACTCCTAAGGTCTGTGCTTTCTGATATCGGTAAATTGTGTTTTTCATTGAATTAGTCAGTTTTCAGCTTGTAACATTTCTATTTTGTATATTTATAATTTTGACACAACAAATGCATAATTACTTAGAATAAAATAGATTCATAAATAAATTAGTCATAAGACTCTAGAGATCATAGTGTCTTTAATTTGGACTCTCTGATACACAATATATTTCTTAAGTTTTTTTTATAATTTTTACTATAAATTAAACTGAATTGAAAAATATTAAATAGAAATGGTAACTCAAATAATGTTTTTCTGTTTTTATGGAAAATCTGTTTAAGCGGAATAATTTTTACTGGACTTACCACTCTTGCTTTTGAATCGAGATTTCATAACTTTTAATACATTTCTTTTATTAAAATTGAACCAGACAACACATCTGAAAAGATGAACTCTTCCTTTCTTCTTTATGTAATGGAACTTCATCCATGATCTCCATGACCTGATGGTCCACTGGAGTTGTTGTTCTCAAATATAAAATCTTTTTCACAACGGATTTCACTGAATATCCTTACGCCTAAATCACTAACAAGACCGCGGTAAATTATTTACACAATTTACTAACCACGCCAATAATAATTTTAAATAAAATTCCCGATTAATTCATTGAAACTAATTTCACAAAACACCAAAAAAGTTTTTATGAAATAATTTTTCTTAGCATCAATTCCACGAGATAACTGAACATACTTCGCATCCAACGAGAACTGATTATTATGTGCATTATTTGCAAATGCAACGGGGGGAGTGCAGAGCTGGTGGTGATCTTGAATTTCTCTTATTCCCAGCACCTTTGCGGCATTGCTTATTAAAACAACGGTTTTTTAATTTCAACTTTTGGATGGCGGTTCGCGGGGTGTTGCTAAAGGTAAGTTCGATTTTTGACTATTTTCCTTGCTGATCATTGCAGAAATGTTTACAATGACTTTACTTACAGTGTTGGACATATTGAACGGTAATTGGAATTGATTTGCTTATTTTCTGAGTTACTTGTTTTTTATTGTAAAAAAGAGTTTCTGTTTTGTTTGTGATTTTAAGAGAACAGAGCAGAGAGTGCAGGAATCAAAAATAGCACCGAAGATGAGTTGTGAATGTCAACGAAACAATATATACATATATAATATTGTGATGAAATTAATTCCAGAAATATAAAATCGTAGCTACACTGAAAAACTAACAAGAATAACAAAAACTAATGTTAGATATTTGTTTCAGAAAAAGTTTTGGTTGGAGTTTAGTGAAGTTTAGTCAGTTAGTTAGATTCGATAAATAAAGTTGTCGACAATACAGAGATACGAATATGAATAGAATAATTATAAAAGGGGCAAATTCATTAAAGAATGTCATTAAAGAATGGTTAATTAAAAATCAATTCTGATATCGTTTGTTTATGAAAAGACAATTCTCAATAAATTTGATTATACGTAATGTATTGTTGTTGCTACAAACAAACATCGACATGATCAATAAAATAATGCCGATTGACCTTTAGAAGAACAAATTCTCCATAGAAAGAATTTATTATATGACTTTGTCTCAGCTATATTTTCTTATTTCCTGTTACTATATTTAGTATTTTCTGAGAAAAGCATAATAAAATTGTACATTCGCGTATTTCTATATGTATATGTAAGTTCCTATTAGTATATTAGTTTATTTTTATATTAAAAATTATAAAAAAAAACTTAAAAACATAATCTTATTTAGTTACATATATGTGAACAAACCATCTTCAAGAATATTTTTTTATCGAAATTATTTCTAGAACTGATTTCATTGTATATAGTTCCCATAAAATAAAATGAAATAACTTAAGCATATCGAATTAGTTTTATATTAATTATTCTAAACTTGTTCATATGTACTTTTATTTAAGAATATGAGGAACAATCTAAATGTTTTATTTCAAAATTGATCAAATTACGATTGGAACGTTGCAAACAATAGTAACCACTTATAATATTAACTAACATAAGTGTAAGGAATGATGTATTGGTAGCTTCCCAGCATACTTTACCGATACTTCGTGATTAATAAAAATAAATGTTCTGAGCCATTCAATAATTGGCAAAAACTAACTATAATTGTTTAACAGGCGTTAAGAACGAAGAGCAATAAAATCTAGAATTTCTTCTTTAACAACAAAATACACTAACACGAGATAGATATATAATTATTATAACTTCCATGTGTGAAGTCGTACCCAATCATATTTGAGCTCTAATTAATATAATTTTCTTTAAAATGCACTTACTATACATAAATTCAAACATACAATGACAGATACAAACTTATAGATCTCTAATTTCAAAACAGAAATAAGGAATAAAAATACGTGTTTATGGTAGAAATGTTATTAAAGTTACTGATTCCCTAGTCTTTTATAATTTATTTATAATATTCTTAATATTATATGACTGAGCTATGTCTTAGGTGGAAGAAATGAGTAAACTATACATCATACATATTATTGTATATTACAGTAAAGAATCAAAAATGTAGGAAGGCAAGTGTATAGTTTATACTTGCTTAACAAGGAATATTTAAGAGTTATAGACTTTCTTGTATATACATAGAACTGCCGCTCAATGAATATTTCTTAAAGAAATAGAGACGTACTTGTACCACTATTAAACCTAATGTATGTCGATCTTTAAAAATATTTTCGAAGAAATGGATGAAATGGCTTCAAAGAAGTTTTACATACACATCATGATTACTGGATGCATCCACTATTTTCAAGTAAAATCGGTGTTGCTTCTTGTATGACATTCAGTTTCACTTAACAGCCCGCATACAAGTTACATGGTTGCCATAAGGACAACCTCTTCAAAGATTATTGGAAAAATTAGTTGTACTCCAAATATCGATTCGATTACTCAAATTTGATGAGGTTTTCCAATAACCAAGCACTTTCCAAATGAATGTTTTTATTACAAGTTTCATGCTTTGTTTGGCTTTATAGAAAATTATGAATACAAAATATTTATTCTCTTTAAACTCACTTACTAAGTTTCAATTTTATGGTACTTATTTGATCATTAGTAAAACATTTCAATTTTCTTATATTTATACATACCATGTTCATACGAAAATTTCTGGGTTTAAACAATTAAAATAGTGTATACTATAAAAACATATATCTGGTAACAATTTCTGCTATCCTGGATCCTGCATCAATTGAATTCCAGAAATTTTAGAAGTATTTTTGGAAATGAAGATGATCACAATGAAAAGGAACAAGTGTTCTCAAAAACAGAAATTTTAAATATAAAAAATTCATTGATGAATGGTTATTCATAAATCAAATCTGTTATTGCTTGTTTATGAAAAGACAGTTCTCCATAAATATGATTACAAGTAATTGATTGTTATTGCTACGATATTATCAGTAAAATAATACCGAATGAGTCTTAGAAGATCACATTCTCCATAGAAAAATTTTATAGTTCGACTTTGCCACAGCTATATTTTCTTATCTCCTGTTTCTATATCTGCTAATTTCTGATAAAAGCATGCAGTTGTACATTTGCGTATATTGATAAATACGTGCCTATTAGTATTATAGGTATAATTTTTTATTAATAAATTTTTTATCACCAAGCGATCGATGTACACATGTAAGAAACTAACTTTCTTATGTTAACGGCCTGACACTGAATGTTAAAACTCAGTTATTAAATACCAGGATATCAAAATGTATTTCACCTAAAATAGTTTGAGTAAAAAATTGGTGAGGATTAAAGCTATAGACCTAATCTTTCACTTCTTTATACATACAGTTATAAATACACTACTGTTACATAATAAAACTACGCTATACAAAAAAAATTCAGTTCCTGTTATAAAATCATTTGTAAAAATGCTATGGCCTCTGACGTATTAGTGACTGATCATAAGAACCTACACTGTCAAAAATAGGTATGTCTTTTGCAATTCTAGTATTTAGTAATATATCGCTTATTCTGACATCTTCATCACAAATACTAGAAGACGAAATAGTGGACCAAGAGTGTTCATCCTCGTGTTTAATTCTAGTCATCGGCTTCTTATCGGCTTCACATGGGCATTCGTATTCAGGATTGATTATAGCCAATTCCATTCTATTTAATCTAAGTATTTTTTCACAGTCCTCCTCGTCAGGTATCACCAACTCCAAATCATCACTTACCCGACATTGTTTTAAAATCGACTTAACTTCTCTGCGGTCACATACGAAACGATGAAAAGTTAAAGGTTGTTTTCTATTTACTATGAAACCAGTTTCGCGATTATAAAATCCTTCACCAGCATCAATTGTATCATCAGGTAATATTTTTGTGTCTTCTGTTACTGTAAGTAAAGGGTTTGGTGCAATTGGTTGTGGACCATCAAGTAGTTCCCTGGGGTATAGGCGATTATTACGAGTTAAATATTTCCAGTTACCAGTGATAATGTCATGCTTCCGAACATGGCAGTTGAAACGTAATCCATCTTCAAATTCCATTTCTTCAATCTTTATAAGGCGACCGAAATCAAATATTACCTTGAATTTCATTTTATAGGGAGCGGCAAGATAGTACTCACCAACACCGTGAAAGACACCCTTTCGAAAATGCCCTTGATAAGTACTTCCATCTGGAAACGTATAATAACCATAACCATCCATGTCATTGGTAGCGGTATTATAAATGCCTTGATAGTAACTGCCTGTAATGAAACCTTTGTTTTGTTCCATTTTGCTGGAGAATTGGTAAATTTCCGATATTTATAATAAATTAGATACAAAATATATATATCGATAAAATTGGATTCAAATGCTTTCCTAACTTTTAATAAAAAGTTAAAGTTTTAACTTTTGTGTAATGTTTTTTATAAGAAATAAATAAAATGAAATACAGTGGTAATATGATATTATTTTTGTATTAATTCATTTTAAAAAAAAACTATGTTATAACAATTAATAATTATTAATGAGTTCCAGAAATTATTTATCGGAAAAGACGACGACATTTGACATTTGATCACATTATGGATGCATTTTTTTCTAAATAATTCATTGAATGACTTCAATAGTTCCATCTCTCAATTAGATATCTATTAGATATGAGATGTATTATTAAATACGCACATAAATTGTAAATGTTTTGCTTAGAATATGTGAGTAACAATGTGAAACAAAAATTTAAGCTCTATAATTGACCATTACTGATATATGCTATTAGTCCAGATATGAAATCAGGTTTACTTGGTAAACAAAAATGATCTTTTTCTTTCTAACCAATTTTCACATCATATTATCACTGAATTACATTTCATTCATATTCATATATTGTATTAATTGTTATTAAGAACGTTGTATAAAAAATATGTATTTGTCTTATCAAAAATCGACAACATTTAGGAATTGAAATATTTTTTTTTTTTGAATGTTTCCGTCTTATTTAATTTATTTTAAATATTTGTCGCTAAACAACTCACAGCCAAAATGAACCAAAACCGAAGTTTCATCACCGGCAGTTACTATGAAGGTATTTACAATACCACTACTAATAATATGGAATATTATGGACGTTACACATTCCCAGATGGAAGTACTTACCTAGGGTATTTTCATAGGGGCGTCTTTCACGGTTCTGGAATATTCGAACTATCCGCTCCCTATAAAATGAAATTCAAGGTAATATTTGATTTAGGTCGCCTTGTAAACGTTGAAAAATTTGTATTTCCCGATGGATTGTGTTTTAAGCGCAATATTAAGAAATGCGGCGTTGCCCTCAATGACTGGGTATATTTAACTCGTAGTAATCGTCTATACCCTAGTGAATTACTTACAGGTGCACAACCGGTTGGACCTAATTCTTTACTTACATTAACAGAAGATCCAGAAATAATACCTGATGAAAAAATTGATGCTGGTGAAGGATTTTATAATCCACAATCTCGTTTTATAGTAGATAGAAAAACACCTTTAGTTCATAACCGCTTCGTATGTGACCCTAAAGAAGTAAAGTGGATTGAAAAACTGTGTCGTGTAAGTGATGATTTGGAGTTGGTACTACCTGATGAGGAGGACTGTGAAAAAATACTTAGATTAAATAGAAGGGAACTGGCTATAATCAATTCGGAATATGAATGCCCATGTGAAGCTGATAAGAAGCCGATGACTAGAGTTAAACACGAGGATGAACACTCTTGGTCTACTATTTCGCCTTCTAGTATTTGTGATGAAGATGTCAGAATTAGTGATATTATGTCGAAATCTAAGTTTAGACAATTCATGAGCAAGTTCAGTTTTATGGATGTTAGTAGCCATTCATTAATAGATCAGCTAATGTAGTAGACAATTATATATTAAAATCTATTTTGTAATGGACATTGAATATATTTTATAAAAAAACAAATTTATATTGATAATAAATGGAGCAAAAGTTCTTACTATTTTTACTAACCATTTTCATCACATAGTATCGGTATTCACAAATTTTTCCTTTCTCCTATATTTAAATTCTAAGAAAATTTATATCTTGCGTTTGCAGTGAGCTGTCAAGTTAGAAGCAGAGCGAGAACTATTACAACAGATTTTAGATGTACATATGTATTAAAAAGTTGTACGAATCTGTACTATCTTCTCTGGTCTCCAATTCCAGGGGCTTGTATTATTGATTGTTTATTCACATTTATATGCTTATGAGGATTAGAATTTTACACTCGAAAACACTAAGTATTTAATTAATTTCTTCCCCTTCATAGCACAGTGTTGTTCATTTTTTACTAAAACATCATTATTTTAAAGTAACTGTGACGTCCTGAAATCATTATTCACCCTCAGCCGTTTCTATTGAAATCTGTTACTTATAGATATCTAAATGGAAATGTTGAAAATACAATTTCATTGATATGTTGGTTTCATTGCATTAGCGATGACATATTTCAACAATATCTGAACGAGTCAGTATTTCAATATCTATCAACATATATATCAATGTATATATCAATATCAATATTTATATTTTGAGCCTTGGCAACACTGATTGTTGTCAGATGTCGTCTGACGTTTCCACACATACGAAAGTTTGACATTATTTAACATAACCTACCTTAGACTTTTTGCAAAAGAACGTTATTTGTGTTATTACAGTGATTATTTACAATGTAAATTGAGTGTTTGCTAAAAAATGAAATTAATGTGAGAAAGTTTTCGTGCGATGATTTATTATGACTTTCTACGTAACTTATCAAGACAAGAGTATATCAATCAATTTACTTCCACATTTGGCGATGGAGCTCCATCCTTTGCCACTGTGAAACGCTGGAACTTGTATAATGATTTTAATCGTGGCCGCAGTTCGTTCATTGAAGAAATTCGTCAGTCAGTGAAGGTCGTCCAAAATCAGTTGTTCAGTTGTTGTGCCAAAAAACATTGATGCTGTGCAAAAACTGAAAACGAAAGTTTTCAGTATAACATGGAAAACAAACTATCGCCGTCGTAGCATTCTCAATCAAGACAATGCGAGTGATAAAACATTTCGTCTAACAACTTGATGGGTCATCAAGTTGATGACCTGATTTCGTACTGATTTCGGTCCCGATTTGGCATCCAATGATTTCTTTTTGTTCCGGGACGTCAAGAATAAATTGCGTTGACAACGATTTTTGTGGACAACGGCGAAAGAAGCCGTTGTGTTGTTTTCACATCATTATATTTTAATGTACATATATATTAACCAT